TCGTAAATGCAATGGAAGCTAATCATCAAGGCAAGAATGTGAAGATCTGTGGGATATCTGAAGATATTAGCCTAAAGCAATTGCCTAATTACATTAAACATCTAATTGCCACTGTATTCACTACATCTATCAGTGGACACAATGTTCTGCATCCCAAAAGCAGAGAAAACACCTGCAGACTAGAGATGATTTCAGACAAGGGCATTGTTACATTGATAGAGGGATTCCGAATAGATAACAGGCGTCCTCTTCTCATACATGTAGGTTTCACCAGTGGGCCTGATTAACTAAGCTGCATAGCTGCATGTTGTACTTTTTCTTTTTCTTATGTTGATTCCAGACAAGGTCAATGCAAGCTGCTTTTATGGCATCAATGCTAAGTCAACCCTGCGTAAGGTTTGAACACCACACTCTGTTTTTTTTTTTACTTAACCAGGCAAACTTTACTCTGGAGGCGATTGATAAAACTGCTTAGTACCACATTTGTGGCTAACTCAATTGTATATCACTGGACCTATTCTCTGTGCCTGGTTATTAACAGAGGGGACATTACCTTAAAGGTTTCCAATGTCTCTGAAATGGACCCTGTGCTTTTGTCACTGGTACTGTGGCCGACTGATGATCCTCACGAACCTACGCTAGGACCAGAAACTTTCCATTCTTGGGACGCTACATAAGTGGTTCTATTCACACCTGGCTGCAAATTAGGGATGGGTCCTGGCTAGAGTTGAGCGAACCCGAACTGTAAAGATCAGGTTCATACCGAACATTACGTTTTTTTGACCCGAACACGGACATTTCAGTTTATGTTCGGGTTGGAGTTCGGTGTTCGGCGATTTAATGGCGCGTTTTGAAAGGCTGCAGGGCAGCAAGTCACTAAGCGTTTGACTCATGTGCCCTTAGAAGCCATCACAGCCATGCCTACTAATGGCATGGCTGTGATTGGCCAGTGCAGCATGTGACCTAGCCTCTATATATAAGCTGGAGTCACATAGCGCCGCACGTCACATGAGCTGTTATAAGTGTAGGGAGAGGATGCTGCAGCTGTGAGGGACAGATTAGGAAAGAATTCTGGTGTTGAATCTGCAAACTACAAAAATTATTTTTGTGGGTGCTCTACTAAATTTTTGTACCCTGCCCTGAGCAGTGGCGGATCCAGGGGGGGGCAACGGGGCAATTGCCCCCGCCGAGATCCTATGCTCTCTCCTGCAGGGCCGGTGCTATCCAAGCGCCGGCCCTGCTAAGTGCCTTCACGGGCCGGAGGGGAGATCAGAGATCTCCCTCACCGGTCCGCAGGCACATTACTGGGCAAACAGAACGGAGAGAGGAGACCCGGGAGGAGCTCTAGCCTGCAGCTCCGCCGGGTCTCCTCTCGCGAGAACGGAGCGTTGCAGGAGGTGCAGGCTACAGTTCACTCTCACCACTGGACCACCAGGGATTCCACCGGACCACCAGGGATTACAAGCGATATCCCCCCTCCCTGGGCAAAAGTAGGAAGGGAGGGGGGATTATAAATAATATTGTTTTAATTAAAAAAAACATTTGTTTTACACTGCCCCACCAAACAAACTGCCCCCACATGCCCCCATACACACTGCCCCCACAGCCCCCCATACACACTGCCCCCACAGCCCCCATACACACTGCCCCCATAGCCCCCCATACACACTGCCCCCACTGCCCCCAAACAAACTACATGCCCCCATACACACTGCCCCCATAGCCCCCCATACACACTGCCTCCATAGCCCCCATACACACTGCCTCCATAGCTCCCCATACACACTGCCCCCACTGCCCCAAACAAACTGCTCCCACATGCCCCCATACACACTACCCCCATAGCCCCTACACACCCTTTGCCCCATACACACTACCCCCACACACACCCACATACACACAGTGCTCCCCATACAAACACTGCACCCCACATACACACAGTGCTCCCCATACAAACACTGCACCCCCCACACACACTCCACATACACACAGTGCTCCCCATACAAACACTGCACCCCACATACACACAGTGCTCCCCATACAAACACTGCACCCCACATACACACAGTTCTCCCCATACAAACACTGCACCCCGCCACACACACACACACCTCCACATACACACAGTGCTCCCCATACAAACACTGCACCTCACATACAGTGCTCCCCATACAAACACTGCACCCCCCCCACACACACACCTCCACATAAACACAGTGCTCCCCATACACACACACCTCCACATAGACACAGTGCTCCCCATACAAACAATGCACCACACACACACACTTCTCCACATATACACAGTGCTCCCCATACAAACACTGCACCCCACATACACACAGTGCTCCCCATACAAACACTGCACCCCACATACACACTGCACACACTGCACCCTCACACACATTACACCCTCACACACTTCTCCCCCCTCACACTACACCCCCATACAAGCACTGCACCCCCACACACACTGCACCCACATACACACACTTCCAACTGGACTCCCATACACACACTGCCCCCACTACACCTTCATACACACACTGGCCCCATACACACAGTGCTTCTACTGCACCCCACATATAAACACTGCACTCCCATGCACACACTACACCCCTCACACAAACACACACACTGCCCCTCCTACACACAGTGCTCCCACTGCACCCCTATACACACACTGGCCTACATGCACTGCCTCCCGTACACACACACACACACACACTGCACCCCTCACACACTGTCTCCCATACCCACCCTGCATCCTTCACACACTCAGTGCCTCCCATACACACACACACACACTACTAGAGGCTCTATCCCCTACTACAGCCAGTATCCTGGCAGACCCCAAGTAAATTGTCAAACTGTTTTTAAACCGTTTGACTATTTACTCTGGGAGGGCACCACGGCACTCCTGGCACCATAACCACTACAGAGAGCTGTAGTGGTTACTGTGCCTGGGTTGTTTCTTTAAATAATCTATGAGTGCCCCTCCCGAGATAAGACTCTGGATCCGCCAGTGGCCCTGAGCCCAGTGCCACAGAGAGTGATGTGCACTTGCAACTGCATGTGTGCCAGGCACATTACTTTAATCCTGTTCTGGTAGCTCAGTGGGCAACTACTGTTACATTGTTGGTTTAAAAATCACACTTTTTTTGTGCTAAATAGTACATTTGCAGCCTGTGGTGCACTTCATATCTGAGAGTCAAATAGAACCGTCAAATACTGTGGTTACATCGCAGTTTGACCAATTCAAAAAGTTTTGGTGCTAAAAAGTAAATGTGGGGCGTGCACTTCATATCTGAGAGTCAAATAGAACTGTCAAATAGTGTAGTTACATCGCAGTTTGACCAATTCAAATTTTTTTGGTGCTAAATAGTACATTTGCTGTGTGCGGTGCACTTCATATCTGAGAGTCAAATAGAACCGTCAAATTTATTTATTTATTTATTTATTAAATATTTTACCAGGAAAGATACATTGAGATTTCTCTCGTTTTCAAGTATGTCCTGGGTCCACAAATCATTGCATTGTTACAATTAGGGTACAATAAAATACAAAAACAATATTAATACACAATAAATACAATATTTAACATAGAACAGGCAGGAAATATATAATCAACCATGACAGGTGCATTCTGTTTTGAAGTATGTAGAGAGGGATCTCTTAAAGGACTTTAGGCTTAGGGAAGATTTTAAATTGTGAGGGAGGTCTGTGGTTACATCGCAGTTTGACCAATTCACATTTTTTTGGTGCTAAAAAGAACATTTGTGGCGTGCACTTCATATCTGAGAGTCAAATAGAACCGTCAAATACTGTGGTTACATTGCACTTTTAAAAATTCACATTTTTTTTGGTGCTAAATAGTACATTTGCAGCCTATGGTGCATTTCTTGCAGTCCAATAAAACCCTTAAATACTACTGTTACATTGTTGGTTTAAAAAAATCACACTTTTTTGTGCTAAATAGAACATTTGCGGCCTGCGGTGCATTTCTTGCAGTCCAATAAAAATAAAAATAATCACTGGAGAGAAAAAGGAAATACCCCCCTACCCACCCACGATCCCTGGCCCTGAATGCCAGCATTTCAAAATTCCTGACCTTTGAAATGCTGTCATTCTGTCTGGTGGAGACGGAAAGTTTTAAAAACCTGATGGCGGAGGCTGTCCCACAGTACGTGGTTCCCAGCCGTCACTACTTTTCCAGGTGAGCCATCCCTTCCCTGCACAACCAATTGGCGGACAAAACCAGGTGTGCACTGCGCAAAGCCATCTGTGGCAAGGTTCACATAACCACTGATACGTGGACCAGTAAGCACGGGCAGGGACGCTATATCTCCCTAACTGCACACTGAGCAAATGTAGTGGCGGCTGGGCCTGAGGCGGATAGCAGTTTGGCGCATGTCATTCCGCCACCGAGGATTACAGGGCATTTCTCTTTGCCTCCTGTTGCCTCCTCCTCCTACTCCGCTTCCTCCTCCTCTACCACCTTCTTATCCGGTCAGTGTAACACCTTCACCACCAACTTCAGCACAGCTAGGGAGACACGACAGCAGGCTGTTTTAAAACTCATATGTTTGGGGGGAAAAACGCACACCGCGCAGGAGTTGTGGATGGGCATGGGACAACAGACTGATGAGTGGTTGTTGCCACTGAGCTTCAAGCCCGGCCTGGTGGTGTGCGATAATGGGCGAAATCTCGTAGAAGCTCTGGGCAAAGCCAGTTTGACGCACATCCCTTGCCTGGCGCATGTGCTGAATTTGGTGGTGCAGAAATTCCTGAAAAACTACCCAGATATAGGTGGAACTCCACCTTACACATGCTGGAGATATTGTACGAGCAGCAGCAAGTGATAGTGGAGTTTCCGCTGCAGCACGCACGGGTCAGTCGCTCTGCACCAGAATTGCTCTGAAATAGATCCTCGTTAAAGGATTTAAAGTGTACTCATTCCAATTACAGGGCCTCGAAAGAGTCCTGTATTGTTATTTATTGTCACTACTTCCCCGTGTCGGGAGTGGGTAATTTGCGCTCCTGTTGCCTTCCTTGGATATGGTAGCCATTTCTCAGGCTCCCTCTCCGGAGTCGAACCCTGATTCCCCGTTACCCGTGGCCACCATGGTAGGCGCAGAAAGTACCATCGAAAGTTGATAGGGCAGACAGGGACGTACGATTGGCCAGAGATTATCTAGAGCAGGGGTAGGCAACGTACGGCACTAGTGCCATGCACGGCACTCGAGGTGCCTTTGGACGGCACTCAAGGCTTCAGATATCTGCTAATACAAAGAGGTGGTGAAGGACAATCTTCAATTTATGCATTGCAGAACGTAGAGGAAGTGATCTCAGAGCACTTCATTCCAGCACTTGTGAATGGGAATCCATACAGTGTTAGAGCACCTCGCAGTTGTTGTTGCAGCTCCTGTCCTTGACCTGTACCTGGCTAGCCTAGTCCCCACTGGAACCCAGGGAAGCCACTCACACTGCTAGATATACACAGAAATGCAGAATAACCCTCTCCTCATACAAATAATACGGACAGCCCACACACAAACATATACACACACACAATCCGCACAAACGCAACACCACTAACAATCCACATACATGCACACAACTCCACATGCAGCCTCTCACATGCAATAACCCAAACAGCCCCCACACACTACCAAACACACAATGTGACATATCCATCCACACACAATTCCACAAGGTACCCCCATACACAGCCCACATTCATATGTATCATACACAATACCATAAACTACTCATGAACATATACAATATAATAACTCATATACGCACAAATACAAAAATACAAAGCAATTACAGTAAAAATAACACAAGCAGATTACAGCAGCATACACACCTCAATTTAAAAAAAATAGGACCGGCACGCTACGGGACATCCCAATCCTATATCGGCACAGTGCTGCTAAACGGTTGCCTACCCCTGATCTAGAGTAACCAAAGTGCCTGTGCAACGACTACCGAGTTGCCCACATTCTAACTTGTGCTGATTACTGGGTGGCCACCCTGCTGGATCCCCGTTACAAGGACAACGTGCCGTAGACACGCTGCTGAGGGCATTCCCAAATGACACCGGGGGCTCAGTGGAAGCACAAGGCAAAGGCAGAGGAGGAGGAAGAGGTCGCCAACGCAACTGGGGCACCGCCAGCACCTCAGAAGGCAGGGTTAGCATGGCCGAAATGTGGGAAAGCTTTGTCAGCATGCCACAACAACCAGCACCACCAGCTGATATGGAACGTCTTAGCAGGAGGCAGAATTTCAGCAACATGGCGGAACAGTATGTGTGCACACGCCTACACGTACTGACTGGTGGGTCTGCCCCATTCTACTTCTGGGTCTCCAAATTGGGCACATGGCCTGAGCTTGCCCTTTATGTCTGGGAGGTGCTGGCCTGCCCTGCAGCCAGTGTATTGTCTGAACGTGTGTTTAGCACAGCAGGGGGCGTTATCACAGACAAGCGCAGCCGCCTGTCCGCAGCCAACATGGACAAGCTCACGTTTATTAAAATGAACCAGGCATGGATCCCACCAGACTTGTCTGTACCTTGTGCAGAATAGACATTTATACCGACCTCTCCCAGCCATTGTTACACTCAAGATCACTTATTCTTTGTTTTCTTTTTTTATATGTCCCAATATTTTGGGGGCTACCCCAATTGTTTGCAGGGCACTTGTCCTATTCTTACCCCTATTTTACTTCCTTTTACAGCCCTCTAGCCCTTTCCAGGACTTTTTTAGAGCCATTTTAGTGCTCAGGGTCATGTTCGGGTCAAGTTCGAGTCCGAATTCGAACTTTTCGCCGAAGTTCAGCCGAACCCAACGAATCCGAACATCCAGGTGTCCGCTCATCTCTAGTCCTGGCCCATCTTTGAGTCAGTCATATCTAAAGGGTTGCTGGAATGAGGCTGATGCCTCCATCTGGACTTGATAAGTCCAAGCCACATATAGGGAGGACACTCTCTAGTTTTTGATACCAAAGTATTATCATTTTTGTTTTGCTATTTTATTAAATGCTAAAATACTTTAGCTTGGATTAAGCTTGTTTTCATGCTGCAATCCTGGTATACATGTGTGTTGTTTACACTGTAACTACAATCTGTGATGCCATAATGATCCTTAACTTTTAAGCAATCTCAAAAAACTTGAATGACAAAAATGTTTCTCAATTAATGTGTGCCCTAAAATTAGAAAATGTCTATTGGTTCTGTACCTTCCCTAACCTGATAAATAGGATGGTAAATTTATTGACTGGCCTCTGAACTTTATCATCTGCATTGCCCCAATATCTATCAATGATTTTCTTTACTAAAAACTCAGCAATATCAGAATTTGATGAATAATTCTCAAAGGGTCCTGCAAAAAGGGACCTAGCTATGAACCTTGGCTTCAAAGCAATGTGCCACTAATCATGGTTTTGGTTATAATTTATAGATGAGATCTTAAGTAGATTTTAACTAACCAGCCCATGAACTATATCTAGACCTTTCGGAATTTTCCTGATAAATGGCTTTATATAACTTTAGGGAACATTGCTGCTTATTGCAAACCGACACACAGTCATACGACTGATGGATATAGAAAACTTAATGAAACAGCAAAAGACATGGTGCTACAGAAAGGTTACTCAGTTCACCAACAATTTACGAGAAAAAACAAACACAATATGTTATGAAATTGGGGCCAAGTCCCTTGTTAAATAGATTTATATGTCTCATTGCACAGCCCTGTGCAATTTGTTATTATTTATAAATAATAACAATATTATTACAGAAATTAACAAAGCTTGTTTAGTGGTATGCAGTGTAGGCCTCAAGTACTGGTATGTATGTAACATTTGCTTATATTTTCATGTGTATTTTAAGTATGCATCTTGATTTTCCTGCTTACAGTTTTTGTCTTTTTTTCAGTGTTTTCTCAGCCCTGTGTGTTGCTTTTGTATTTCTTTAAATCTCCTCTTTGTATCTCTTATACCATTTGACTATTCCTTTTGGTTCATATCCCCTGTTTATATTTGTATTATCTCTCCTGGTTGTCATTATAAACTCTCCTCTCAACCCAATTATGTAGTATTTGGTAGTCCTACTTAAGACTATACTTTTATTAATAATAAATACATAATAGAAATATGTTTATCCCCTACCAATTGCCTGACATTTTTTTCTGAGAGGCTACATGATGTCTAGTGGTCTGTTGAGGATAGGAGACTCTATTTATTTATCTCTCATGGTCAAGGACAGCCGAATGTATTCGAGTGACAAACAACAGACAGCAACTAAAAACAGGAAACCGAGATAGTGGTCTTGTTTATCAGAAAACATACTGAATGAATACTCCCTCATGGTATGCAAAGTTGAGACATTCTGGTTAGACTTTTCTGGCCTGGATCCAACTCTCAGCTCCGAGCAGTATCTCTCCAAGTGTGTTCCAGTGCCCTAGGTTAAATGCCTTAGTAACGTTAAGACAAGATTTAATAAACAAAATTATGAAAAGGGTCAGATTTGTATTGTAGAGGCCTTGAGGAACCAAACGTACTGGCAGAATTCATAATAATAAACTAGAAATGCTGTGTGCATGAGGCACCTCTGCGAAGTGGGTGGGACTTGTTTATAAATTAGTGGAACATTATAAAATATAGTATTTCATTATATTAAGTCTCATCCATTTCCCTCTGTGTTAACAAAGTGATGTGCTAGATAATGTGCTAGATAATTGTATAATGTGTTCGAGAAGAAATTATTCTCTGATTACAAACTTTAAGTGATGGTACGTGATTGTATGTCATCTGTGCAACAGAAATAGATGTGATTTATGGATTTCAAATCAACACAAATCTATTACTAGGAATTATGCATTTGTATTCAGTGAGAAAGACGACTGTTTGGTGATCTTTCCTTTATTGTAATATTTAAGAAACTGATCAGTATTTTATAAAAAAAAAAAAAAAAGGACAAACAAACAAAACAAAAACAAAGGGAAGGTACAAGATGAGTATCTCCAGTGTGGAAAGGTTAACTAGCTTGTAGATTCCAATGAATTCTAGTCGATTCGCATAAAAAGAAAAAAAATAAGACATAGCAACAGTCATTTTTCAAACAGCTCATGACATTCTTCTCTAAGTTCATACATCTGCAAGCAGTTCAGGCCGTTACACATTGTTGATGAATTATCCCCCGTTTCCTTGGCCTAATCCTTTTCATTTATTTATATTTTACGAAGGGAACATGAAAGGCAGCTCATAAAAACCCAACTGCTTTTGATAAATCCTGTCGTGGGTGCTTAATGGGATCTTGCAGAGGCCCAGAGGAAAATGGATACCCGGCCCGCATGTACATAACAAATCGCGTAGCAGTCAATAGTATAACTTCTGTATCTTTCAGGAAAAAAAACTCTACGTAAAAATACTGATGAGAAATGCGGAAGTTTGTTTAAACCTGTGTTTTACAGCAGCCTCATGCTGAGTACTATTTGCATAACATGACATTGTGCAATAAAAGATATTGAAAAACGTCACAGACAGCAACTTCTTTTCTTTACATGTTGTAGCAAAACACAGTATCAGTTAATGCTTTAAGTATATTTTTTTTGGTTCCCAGGAGGTTTAACTCAGAAAGTGGCCACTCAATATCTGTCCACTCAAGTGGCCAGCCAAGCCACCCAAAAACAAATAAAAATAAGTATCCCTCTACATTAACAGTCACTAATAATAGCCCCAAAAATATAAATTACCTATAAATTTTTTTTTAGATATTCCCATCAAAGTTTTGATTGAAGATCAGTTTTATTTCTTCAGTCATCAAAATTCCCCCCCCATTTTAACAACAACAAAAAAAGATTCAAAGATTTTATACAGACTTCTGAATATTCAGAAATAGATCTGTAATTAATTGGCCTTCATATTATGTTTCTAAATGCCATTTCAATGGATTCCAATGTAGCACTCCAGTCAGAACCTTTGCTATTAGGAAGGTTAGTACAACATCAGCTCTAGCAAGCTAAAATTGAGGCATTTCTGTTATAAAGTGATTGTTGAATGTTGATTAGTCAAAAAAAACACTCTATATATTAAATTGTGAATAATCCCTTTCCTGTTTTTAACCAACTTTATGCTTTGATAAATAGCTTGGAAAAATTACATCTGCACACACAGATGAACAAACATACAAACAAATGATAAGAAAAATAGTTATTGTTTAAAGCATACATATTTGTTTTTACCCAATATTCTGCAGAATTTTTTTCACACAAGAAGTT